TATCCATACATCAAAGAGGAGAGGCATAAGGTCCTGAGTTGGATCCCCAGTACCAAAAAAAGGTGAGGGAGGGCATGTTTATATCTGCAGTAGAGGACAGGATAAACTAAAGAAGATGCATTTGTTATGGCTTGCATAGAGATATCCCCGAAAAGCCTCACACATTCATACCTAGGGCTTTTCAGAGATGGCTGGATTTAGGGTGCATGAATATCTATTACTGATGTGTAATAATTGGATTAGTCCACTGATTGTATTAGCAGAAATTTGGGTATGGTGAGATATATTTTTCTGAAAACAGAAGACCCATGATGGGTGTGAGCAGCACCAGCCAATAAACTTGTAGTCTGAATGTAATAAAAAGGGAGAAGAAGGCCGGGGATTTAGCTCAGCAGCACAAGCACCTGCCTAGAAAGCGCAAGGTCATGAGTTCAATCCCCGCTACCAAAAAGACAGTGGGGCTCACTGCTTGCTTCTCTCTTCTGCCTACTATGACATGAGATGTTTCTCTCTTGCAATGCCCCTTTGCCATGCTTTTAACTGGGCCCTCAGCCCAGTTAACTATGTGACTTAGCCCTACAAACTGCAAGCTAAAATAAGCCTTCTCTCCTTAATGTGTGAGTGTCAGGTATTTTGTCCCAGCAACAAGAAAGTAACTAAGACAGATTTGATGCCAGAGAAGTAAGCTCATGGCTGTGACACTATCTGCTGTGTGGTTCAAAATCCCTTAGAATTGGCTTGTGAGAAGAGTTTAGAAAGTTTTGGAAGCTGGGTATGGTGGCAAAGCCTACAATCCCAGTACTTGGGAGGTTGAGGCAAGACGGTGAATGCAAGTTCAAGTGGGGAGGAGCTATGTGGTGGGCTATGTGGGCTATGTGGTGAGTTCAAGGCCAGTCTGAACTAAGAGCAAGACCCCAATGAAAGAAAGAAAGAGGAGAGAGACGGAGAGTTTCAGAGATGCTGGCGGCTGGCTGGAAAACAGTCCTAGAATACTATGAGTCACACTTCATGGGAGATTCTGGTTAGAGCTCAGAAGACCAGAGTGCTGGGAGTAATGCAGCTGGAAAAGCCTAGGTTAAGGAGGCTTCAGTTGGACAGGACTCCATCAGCAGTTGAGCTCCATACCATGTGTATTAGTCTTTGGCAGAAAATTTGTCTACATTTTGTTTGTGCACAGGGACTGCAGGAGACTGAGATTAACCTAGCAGGAGAAATTTCAAGGCAGTCTGATCTTGAGGCAGTCTATTTTAATCAGATCTATATTGAGAATCAAGAGCAAACAGCACACCATAATGACTTTAAAAAGAAAGTTCCAAAGGCTAGGGTTTTAGCTCTGTGGCACAAACACCTGCCTGACAAGCGTGAGGTCATGAGTTCAATCCCCAGTATAGATAAATAAAAAATAAAATAAAAAGGAAGTTCCAGCAATACTGTATCTTGCAAAGAGGAACAGAAGAGAACTTGATTTCTAAAAAGATCAGTGCTAGGGTTATTTCCAAAAGATGAAAAATATTAACAAAAGATGAGAAATATAAAATAAAAAGCGGCCTTTATTCTGAGAACACGGAGAGAGATGACCAGCACCCCCACCGCTGGCATCGGCGATCTCTCCCGCGGACACGTGGCGTGGGGGCCTGTAAATAGCCTCGGTTTGGGGTGGAACCTAAAGCGGGCATTAGGGATACACAGGTAGCCCATTGGTCCTAGGTTTGGCGCCATATGTAAATTTCCAGGGGCGGGAAGATGGCGTCACAGGTAACTTCCTAGGGGCGGGCGAGATTGGGGCTTCCTGCTTCCGGTTGTGGCTTTCCTGGCTACAGTGTTCTGTCTGGGCCAAAACCCTTTCAATCAGCAATAAAAAGCCAAGCATTTCAGAAGAGGACAATAGAAAAATGGCCTGCAGGCTTCATAAGAACCAGAAGTCTCTATCCTTTGTAGCCTCAAAATTGCAAAGATGGCAGACTTTGCTTTGAGAACAGAGTCCCAGGACACCATGTTCCAGAATGGCAGTAGCCTTAATTAATTAGTTATCCAAAAAATTACATGGTGTGTAGTCTGTTCACACAACACAACATTGCTCAGGAAAGACAGTCTGACCATACAGCAGCATGGATGACCTGAGAACCCTGTCACCAGCTAGTCACAGAGGACAGTTGCTGGGTGGCTTTGTTGCCACAAGGTTCCTAAGTAGTCAGATTCATAGAGACAGGAAGTTGAGTGGGGTGACATCTACAAAGTCACGAGGGGAGTTACTGTCTCATGAGTCATGTCAGCAGCCTTCTGTGAGCTCCTCCCCACTGGCAGGTGGCCACTTTCTCTATATCCCCATATGGTAGACAGAGAAAGAACTCTGGTCCCCTCCTTTTTTGTAAGGACACTAAGTCCTCTACGGGACCCTTACAAGCCTGGTCACCTCCAAAAGCCCTCCTCCAATACAAGTCCCTGGGGATAGGCCTTTGCAAAGCACAAGAAGGCTTGACAAGACTGTCATAGTGACACTGGCAAGGGTCTTTAAGTGACCCAAATATGCTTGGAAGCAAGCAAGCTTAGAGGTGTGAAATAGTCACTACTGGGTTTTTAACTGGTGCTCAGGATCTTTTACTGACTCGTCCACATGGTGGGGGCAGTATGTGGCCTTCCCCTGGAGGTAGCAAAAACGGTGGAAGAGCAGGCCTTCAGAAGGTGCACAGCACTTAGGAACCCCTCCCTCAGACAGGGCCTCTGCAACCCAAGCCCTGCCCATGCCCCATACTCAGCAGGCACCTGAAACCACTCTTTCCAAGGACTCTGTGCATGCACAATGGCCTGCAGGCTGACACGAACTCCCAGGTACCCAACTCACTGTCCCCCTCAGCTCTCTGAGTCACCCCACCTGACCCCCACAGCTCAGGGGGGTTTCTCTTCCCAGTCTGGCCCTGGATCTAATGCTTCTGGCTTTGTGCATGTGATCCCTTATCCAGTTTCAGAGCCCTTTCTTTGACCAGGCAGGAAATCCTCACAGAGACCCCACAGTGAGCCCTCCTGGGACCTCTCTTACATCCCAGATCCTTCAAACCTGACCTCTCGACTGCCCTCAACACCAGCACCCTGTCCTTTGAGGTGTCCACTTAAATCCTCTGATTTCAGTTGCCCTCCCCCACTGTTCCCCACACAATAACCCCCAAAACTGAGCAATTCACACCACTCCCACTAGACTTCTCTCTTCCTTTGGGGGATCAAGCCTCACCCTTGCCCCTTAAACTGCCCACCAACCTCCACACCTAGCTCACTACCTCGATGTAGCAGCTTCATGGGTCAAAGGACCTGCAAACTGACAAGGCTGGGGTGCATTGGGTCCCACCCTGCCCCCAAGGAACACACCTCTGAGAAAAAATCTCAGGAACATGCAGAGGTGCCTTTTCTGGTCCCACTTGAGTCCTAGAAAAAAGAGGTCAGGATGAGATCTGGAGGCAAAGCAGAGTTGGGCCACCACAGGGGATGGGGGGACACCACTGGTTGAGGACTTTGAGAGCCAGAGTGTGGGCAGTGCACATGTCAGGCCTCCCTGAGTCTGAGACTCTCTTCCGGGTCTTAGAGATAGCTAGTCCCACCTCTGACATGCAACAGTGGCCTAGCAAGCAGAGCTACACTGCCCACACCACTCCCAGACCCACGGGTGACATGGGTCTCTGACGTAAAGGGTGCAGCATGGCTCAAGGTGGGCAGTCTACCTGCATGTCAGGCCTTGGGTTCCATCCAACCATCATTATGAAAAAGAGAAAAATCCAAGGGAACTGAGGAGCTAAAACTTCTCAGACCTCTTGTGGTCCCTCAGGTGTTCCTGTCTGCTCCAACTTGCCCAGAGCCAGGAGGGCTGAAGGCTGGCTTTCATTGTCCAGCTGAGTTAGCGAGGACAGGGGTACTGGCTGTTCCAAGAGCAGGACACAGGATCCAGCTTGAAACACACATAACCGGGGCTCACCCTTCAGGCCTCACCTATTACCCACACCCACAGACACAGGCCAGGGACTCCTCGGCCCAGAGCTGCCACCAGTCTTTGGCCTCTGCAGGTCCATACCCCTCCCACAGGTCTCCACTGCTTCATCACCATGCGGGGTGCAGTGTCTCTCCGTGGGTGCCCAGTTCAGAGCCCAAGCCCTGGGGTGCTCACCCTGCACTTCAGCGCTGATTTGGAGGCCACAGCAAGGAAGGGATACAGCCATGGAGAAGCCTCTCCACATGGTCCCAAGACCAGCTGCCTGGAAGGCAGGTGACTCCCAAGCAACAAGGCACTGATTCCCATCCAGCACACCCAGTTGTGGTAGAACCTTACCTACCCCCACCAGAGCTGTTACAGTAAGGAACATGCTGGGGAGGCCACCACCCTCAGGGCACAGCCAGTCCCTTAGGCCACACAGTGAAACTGCCTGGTCTGGGGCTCCAGGTGCTACATGCCCAGCTGCCCTGAGGAACATGTGTGGCCATCACCCATCACAGGTAAGACCTTTGAAGCAGCTCCTGAGATATTAGTCCCTCCATCCCACATAGACCCTGCTGGGCCTTGGGACCGAAAGGTCACACCCCACATGGGGGGTGGGGTCCAGGCAGAGGTCAGGTGCAGAGGATTTCAGGCTGTGCATCTGGGCCACGTGGGCACTGGTGACTGGGGGGTGCAGGTCAGCTTCACCTAGGAAACAGAGGGCACTGGACCTGTTGAGGTTGACACTCTTGGTTTGGGCATGTAGAGAGGCTTCTGTGAGAGTGACTCCAGGGCTGCAGGGGCACTTCTGGGCCCAGGAGGGGGTTGGACCCCTCAGGGGGTACGGAGTAAGGTGTCCACCAGAGTTAGGGCTGTGGAATCTGGGGCGGCAGCAATGAGCCTGAAGGTGACAGGGATGTAGTGGTACCCTACTGGGAAGCTCCTGGGACCACTGGGGACCCCATAGCCTCCCACCCTGATCACTACTTGCCCCTGCCAGATAGATGTTAAGAGACCAAGAAACAGCGCACTGAGACTTCCATACGAAACTGTAAACATGAGTCTTTAAAATGACAGAGGCCTGGCCCCATCTCTGCGCCCAGGCATACGCAGGGGCCAGAGCCTACAACACCCTTCCTTCCCCGGTGCTCCACTGCACTCCACTCCATGTGGGGCAGCCGAGAGTCCACGGCTGAGGGATTCCTGAGATGAAGAAGCGGCAGCGGCTCCTACTCCGTCCTGTCACATCTCATCCAGGCACACACCGGTCACGTATCCAGCGCATCGCGCGTGGGTGAGGGCCCACGGGGGCGCCCGGCTGCGCCGTGCAGGGTGGGCGGCTGCGAGTGGCGCTGTGCAGACGGTGGCTGCAGCTCCAGCGCAAGTGCAGGCGGTGGGAAGTCGCGCACCTGGCGTCGGTACTCTAGGAAGGTGCAGGCCTTGGTGGCCAGCGCCACCACGTTCTTCCCCACGAAGATGGCTGAGACACGGCTGTCACGGAACAGAGCCATGTTGGCAGCGCGAGCCAGCACTGCCACCACGTTGACTGTAGCAAGACTCAGCACCGGGTAGAGCATCATCTTCTGAGGAGCGATGTGCTCGCCCTGCATGCTGACCTCGCTGAGCGCCACGCATGGCAGTACGAGCAGCAGCATGTAACAGTAGAAGAAGGTGAGGCCCTCGGCCCACAGCGGCAGCCCGGTGCGTGGCGGCTCCCACAGTGTGGCCTGCATGTCCAGCAGGTCCAGCAGGTCCAGCGCCACCCAAAAGAGGCGCCCGCGCAGATCCTCGCGCTTGCGGAAGGTGCGCACGTACTCCATGCGGTCGAGCGCCACCAGCAGCAAGAAGAGGCCGGGCACGCACACGGAGAGCAGCAGAGTGAGCGCCTTGCGTGCCAGCGGGTCGCCCGCACCGCGCCGCGCTGCCTTGTAGTTCTGGAAGATGAAGTAGAGCTTGATCTCCAGCACGAAGACATAGAGAAACCAGAGGATCATGGCGTAGCCGCGCTTTGCGGTGCGCACCTCGGCACCCACCCACACGGCCACATAGCGTAGCACCAAAAGGAAGCACACGTCGCCCACCAGCACGATGATGCACACGCCGACCTTGCGCGGGCCCTGGTTCTGCTCCACCAGGTAAGCGTCCATCACGGCCATGCTACCTACAATCACCAGCGTGGTCAGGCACACATGGCGCCGGTCCGGAGGCGGCAGCACCATGGTCGGCTGCCGGGGCCGGGGCCCCCACGCGCGGCAGCCCCCAAGTGTGGCCTTGTGGCGGCCCGAAGTGTGGCGCTCCTCAGCCCGCAGACATGGCGAGCTGGGACCTGGGGAGAGCAGAGGAGACCGGTCAGAGAGGCGGCACTGTGTGGCCGCTCCCGTGTGTACCCTCCACGCGCTGTCCCAGCGGAGGGCAGCCGAGCTTGCGGGGCCTTGGAGCCAGGAGCGGGGCCTCCAGAGGGCGCTGCGGCCCCACCTGGTACCCAGGCGGCGTTCCCGCCGCACCAGGAAGGAAACGGAACGGAAGTGGTTTCTGCGCGCTGGACTTCGGAGCCTGGTCACCCCCGGGCCCTCTGCCTCCCTTCCCAGCAGACGCATCCGTCCTGCGGGTCTCTCCTTCCTGCCCTTAGACTGGGACCCTGTGCGCCCTCGTGCAGCACAGACGCTCCCTGCCGCCGCCCTACGCTCCCTGGCCCAGAGCAGGAGAGTCTGGTCCCGCTGCATCTCCTCTTAGCTCCCCAACTCTCGGCATCCGCGCACCGGCCAGAGAAGCCCAGTCCCCCGCACGCCCTCACCCGCCCGGAGTCGCGGCCGCCGACTCCGCCTCCCTCGTGGCACCCGACCTGGCCATCCCCCCCCCCCCATCCAACCCCGCTGACAACGGGCTGTCTAGACAAAGACATAAAATTTACTGTCGCCAGGACAGTGCTGCGCTCAATCTGTTCCGATGACACCACACCCCCATAGGAAGGCCCCAAATCCTACATTTGCACCCGATGCATCCCAGGACACTCCCACCCTCCAACACCTCCAGCAGGATGTCCCTGGGGTTACCGCACCCCACCTCCAAGGTTCCGGGGTCCTGCTCGTTAGCCCTACGCTTATGCGTCTCACGCCCACCGGCCAGCGCACTTCGCGCGGGAAGCCCACGCGAGCCGCACCGGGAAAGGTCCTTCCCATTCTGTGTCCAGGCCCCACAACCAAGTCGCCGTTACACCGCTGCCCTCGCGGCCCCATCCTTGCTAGCTCAGTCACTCGACAAATACAGCAAAGGGCTGAGGACTCTAGGGAGGCGATGGGACAGACCCCACATCATCAGTAGCCGGCCCCAACCTGAAATCTCCCTTGGTCATATCCCGGGAACCTGGCCCCGCACACCTGCCCAAGCCTCCTGCCCGGGTCGACTGCCCATGCGTCTCCCCTGCCCGGAGGCTGGGGCGTCACACCCGAATCCCGTACTCCAGGGCCTCCGAGCCCCGCCCGCACAGTCCTCTGCCTCGGGCCGGAGAGGAGGGGCTCGGGGCTGGAGAAGGACTCTGCCTCCCCCTCCCCCGCGTGATTCCCCCCTCCCGGGGCTGGTCCCTACTGCCCCCACACCCCAGGCCACACCAGGCATTGCCCCACCCACCCTCGAGGCCTGGGGCAGCCATTGCCCAGACCCCTGCTCAGTCATCCGTCCCCACCGGGCCACCCGCAGCCACCCATGGCCACCGGCGCCAGCCCGCACCTACCCCGCCACCTGCCGGTACTGCGCGCCGCTGGCCCCGAAGCCTCTGCGCGCTCCGCCCTCCGCCGCTGGGGCGTCCCGACCCCGCCCCGCGCCCCCAGCGCGCGCGGCCCTCCCTAGCCTGGCATAGAGCAGGTCCCCGCGTGGACTCCAGCCGGCGAGGACGGGGCCCTTGCGCCCCGCCCTGTCTTGCCCTTACGCAGCGCCAGTTGCCGAGGCGACAGCTCTGCGCAACCTGAAGCTCTGGGCCGATATTGTTGAGACCCGGACATCCCAGTGCCACCAACCCACACCAAGAGGCCGCCTAGTATCACAACGGAGAACCACCCCGGGACTCCTGCTCCCCGAGCCCTGACATTCTCTGCACCCTGTGTGGGTCAGAATCCACTGCCACTAGTAACCCCCCTTACCGGCGACTAGCAGCACACTCACCTTGCTGCAGTTGACCCCACCCAACCAAACAGTGGCCCGCAGGGACGGGGGGGGGGGGGGGGGGGGGGCCTGGGTCTTGTTTCCAGCTCAGTCCCAGGTCCCTTCTGCTGGCAGATAAAGGAATGTGAGCCGCATCTTTCCCCACCCTTACCAGGGAGGAGCTAGGGCACTGGGACTCAGCCATCCCCTCCACACTGTGCTGACTGAGCCCAGATATGGAGAGCACCGACCTCCATAAGAAGAGGGCAACTTTTTGCCTGCCCTCATCGGCAGCTGCCCCCATTTGCCTCCGAAAGAAGACATGGAGGGCAGAAGTTAGGGAAACATGGGTCCCAATGCTGAGGTGGGCAGCCTGGCTCCCTCCCAAGCTCTGAACTCTGAATCGTGATGGATCTGCGCAAGTGACAGATGTGTCGCTTCCCTAGGCCCTGGGGATCAGGCAAACATTTGGCAGATGAGAAGCAAGGGCAGCAAGTCGCAGTGGCCTTCATGAGGACCAGGGGCTGTTGCTGACTCACCAATTGCTGGACAGGGGGTATCAGCCTCTCATCAGCTCACACCTGTTCTCACAGGAGGATGGAGGATGAGCCCTTTGGACCAGCAAGAGGCCTCACAGCCAACAGCTGGCTGCTTCTCTCCACAAGGAGCCCTGCATGCCCTGAGCAAGGACAAGGTGGCTGAGGTTGGGGAGGAAACAGCTCAGTACCCATGGCCCAGGGAAGGAGCCTCATGCCTGAATGTGGACAGCATTGGCCATGCGGCCTAGCTAACCTGCAGAGGAGAGACAGGGCAGGAGAAGGTGAGGAGCTAAAGTCAGAACCCCAAGTAGCCCACCCCACCCCTCTCCTACAGCTGTGCTTTACCCACTTCTCACCCAAACCCGGAGGCCTGCCTCAAGTCCTCAGAACCTCTGGGCATATCACCTCTGGTGTCACAATGCACTTTGTAGCTGTGCAAATGAAGGAAAGCTTGTGTTCACATATAATCAGACTGGACTACTAGAAAAATAAACAAGTAAAAAAAATAAAAAAAAAAACAAGTAGAGAAGAGTCAGCTCGCAATCCTGAGTTGGAGGTCACTAGGAAGGTATAAAAGTCCCACATCCTCAGATGCCTAATGACGCATGTGTAGATACATAGATGACAACATACAGCACAAGGTAGCAACTGAAAAAAAAACTAAGCCAGGTGTGGTGGCTTTCTCCTGAAATCCCGCACTCTCAGAGGCTCAGGCAGGAGAATTGTAAAGCCAAACCCATCATAAGCAATTTCACAATTTGGACAAGACTTTGTCTTGAAATAAAACATGGCTGGGATTGTAGCATAATGCAAAGGACCTGGGTTCAGTCCCCAGTACTGCAAAAAGTAAGAAAAAAGAAGCACAGATGTCCACAATTACAAGTTTCACAACTGTTTCGTGGCCAACTGGACTGGCACACAGAACACTGCATCAAACAACTGCAAATATACAGCTCTGTATACTCAACATCACGTCAAGCAGCCAGCATCACAGCCTCCTGATACAAAGGGCCAAGCAAGGAAAGCTCAGCCTCACCTCTGCGGTGTGCTTGCCCAATATGCATCAATCTCTGGGGTCACTGGGCACATTCTGCTGCATGGCCTGCTGCAGGTGGTTGTGAGTATAAGAACACACTAGGAGACTCCAGGTGAGAGGACACAGGAAAGGTGACAGATACTGCATGTTGTGGTTTGGTCTCAGAGCCTCCTGAGCTAAGAGGCGGGCATGGAAGGGGACTGAATTACACCTGCTGCTATTAGGAGATGGGGACTGGCAGGGGAAGGCAGGTCACTGGAGATCTGACCTGGAAGCATTTATCTGTCTCCCTTCCCAGCTCTTCCCTTTGCTCACTGATTCTTGTCTACCCTGCTGCAAGCAGTTGTCCTCTGCTATGCCCCTCTGTCATGTCATTCTTCCTTGGAGCCAGCCTACAATGGACTAAACAATGAGTCCAGACAAGCTGCTCTTTTAAATTGTGGTGGCAGGCATTGTGTCTCAACAATAACAAAGTAACTGAGTCACCACACAAACAGGATGGTCCTGGACCCATACAGTACAGCCCATCACAGACATAGGAAAATCAGATGTGGTTTCAGGATGAGACAGGGGCATTGACAGTTTCCTGATTTAAAAGGTCACACTATGGTGACCTTGACTTCAGGAATATTCTCCAAGGTGCTCAGGCAAGTAAGCATCATATGTACAACTCAATTCTTTCTTTTTGAGAAATGAGAGGACAGAGAGTCTCACTGTGTTACCCACAAACTCAAACTCCTGGGCTGAAGCAATTCATCCACCTCAATCTCCAAAGTAGCCAGGACCACAAGTGCAAGTCATCACATCCAGCTCTGTGACTTAGTTCTCAAGAGGGATGAAGGCCTATGCATGTAATGTTACATATGCATTCTGCATTTGTGTGTGTGTGTGTGTGTGTGTGTGTGTATGTGTGTGTGCCTGTGTATATGGTAAAGGAAACAAAATACCAACTGGGAGATGTGGGTGAAGGCATATGACAGCTATGGATACTACTGCAGCTTTTTTATTTGGGTTTATTTTTTAAATAAAACTTTAAAAATCAATAAACCCAATTCTTCACATTAACAAATTCAGGGCAAACGTATATCAATAGATGCAAAAAAGGCATTTACTAGAATTCAGTAGCTGTTCATAACTTACAAGAAAGCTTTCAGGAGACTAAGAAACATCTTGGATCTGATAAAATATTTTGATAGAATCCTGCACAAATAGTATCTCAGTGATGAAGGGCTGGAAATGATCTCTTTGAGCCAGGAGCAGACAGTTGCCCTTGGCTGCTGTGCCTGTTAAATGTTGTACAATTCTACCACGGAACACCAGGGAAGACGAGCAAGGAGTAAAAACTGAAGATTTCCAGGCGTGGTTGTGCACTCCTATAATCCCCAACACTTGGGAGGTTGAGGCAGGAGAATTGTTTGCAAGTTCGAGGCTAGCCTGAACTGCATAGTGAGACCCTATCTAAAAAAGACAAAAAAAATTGAAGATTTAGCTGGGCACGATGGTACATGCCTGTAATCCCAGCTCTCAGGGAGGCTGAGGCAGGAGGACTTCTTCCCGGCCTAGGCCAACCTGGGCCTCACAGTGAATTCAAGGCCAGTTTGGATACTATAGGGAGACTCTGTCTCCAAAAGACAAAAAAATAAATCTGGAGATATAAAAACCCCATTAGGGGCCAGGGATTTAGCTCAGAGGCTTAAGTGCTTGCCTGGTAAGCATGAGATCATAAATTCAATCCCAAGTACGAAAGAAAAAAGAAAAATCCCATTAGTTTTTATAGGTGACATAATTGTGCATTTGAAAAGTCTAAAATCCCAGATGTGGTGGTACACACTTAATCCCAGCATCTTGAGAGGCTGAGGCAGATGATCATGAGGTTGAGCCTATCCTAGACAACTCAGTGAGAGTTTGTCTCAAAACATTTATAAATAGGGTTGGGGGGCTGGGGATTTAGCTCAGCGCCATAAGCACCTGTCTTGCAAGCACAAGATCATGAGTTCAATCCCTGATACCAATAAAATGAAATGAAATAAAATAAAATAAAAAGGGGGTTGGGTTGTAGCTCAGTGTGAAAGCCTTCCAGTATATTTTTAAAAATTTAAAGAGGCCAGGGATTTAGCTCAGCAGCATAAGTGCCTGCCTGGCAAGCACAAGGTCATGAGTTTGATCCCAGGTACAAAAAAAAAAAAACTGAAAGAACTAGAAATAAAATTTTGAAAATAATAAACGACCTTAGTAAGGTTGTTTATACCACCTAAATAGTCAAAGTCAATGGTGTATCCACAATTTTTATCACAGTTAGAAAAAAAATGTAGGGCTAAGTTTGTAGTTCAATTGTACAGTGCTTTCTAGCCTACATGGGCCCTGATTTCCATCCCCAGCACCCTGGGGGGAAAAAAAAGATGAAATCAGATCCATACCTCATAGCTTACATGAAAAACATGTGTGGCATTTCATCCTAAATGTAAAAGGAAAGAAAAAGAAAGAAAGCTTTCCTAGAAGACATAAAATAGAAGAAAATACAAGAAACTGTTTATGACCTTGGGGGTGCAAAGAAATTCAAATATGATACAAAAAGCTGAGAACCACGAAAAGAAAAATGGGATTCCATGGAAATTATAAGCTTCAGTTCATCCAAAGACACCATGAAAAGGGCAACAAGGCCAATTCCAGAGAGGACTCATTGCCTGCGAACTTACAACCTACAAAGTCACCACCTGAGCCAGTTCCAAGTTCGAGGCTAGCCTGAACTGCATAGTGAGACCCTGTCTAAAAAAGACAAAAAAAAAAAAAACCTGAAGATTTATCTGGATGTGATGGTACATGCCTGTAATCTCAGCTCTCAGGGAGGCTGAGGCAGGAGGACTTCTTCCATTTCTAGGCCAACCTGGGCCTCACAGTGAATTCAAGGCCAGTTTGGATACTACAGGGAGGCACCAGTGAGAAGACTCCCAAGGGCAAGGATGGGAAAGACAGGAAGGATGCTCCTGAGGTGGCCACTGAGATCGGCACCCTTGCTTCCTGGGAAATGTAAACAGAAGCCAGTGAGGTGGCACAGACGTCCCTGGGAGGACTAGAATCCAGGAGGCCATACAGAGGCTGAGTAATATGTGAAGCAGCTGGGGCTCCCCTGGCTGCCAGAGAGGATGTAATAAGTACAAGCACAGAAGAAAATGGTGCCAGCTGAGAAAACTGGGCACAGGCACACCTGAAAGCTGAGGAATTCCATGCCTGGTGCCGCATGAGCAACAGTGTCATGGAAGTACTGTTTGTCACAGCCCAAACCAAAAACCCCCATGC